GTATTTAACTTGGTTTACCTTTGTTTTACATGTGCTAGGTTTAACTTTGTATAGCTGTGTTAACCTGTGCCAGATTTAACGTGTGTTCAACTTGGTTTACCTGTGTTTAAACTGTGTTGTAACCTGTCTTGAGCTTGGTCTAGGACATGTTTAACTTGGCTTAACCTCTGTTTAACCTGATACCTGATTTAACCTTGATTTTACTTCAATGTGAGTTTGTCTTAAGAGAGGGGTTGCTCTTCACACATGCATGCAATGAAACCGAATATGAATCCAAGTCGTCTGAACAACTTTTAGTTTTCTATCTTGAGAAAACTTAAAAACATTCCTCCTGCACTTTAGGTATTCTGACGCAGAGGGAGAACTTTTTTACGTGGATAAAAACCACACATAGAGACATCATCAGTGAATGATAAAGAAATGGCTTCATACAGACAGTAGGATGCCAGAGCAAAGTCAGTATGCAGCCCTTGGTGTTTCAAATAACCAGTGTATGCAGTATTTTTCTTTTTTTACCCTCCCTCATTCAACTCTTCGAAGCAGCAGGGGATTAAGTGCCAGATGTTTTGGGACCAACCCTCTGCCTCCGAAATATTTACCTGCTGCTTGGACACTTTGTACGTGTTATTGGTGGGTAATTAAGGTAAGTTACACATTTAGGAGTCAGGGTCACGGTTAATAAACCGGCTTCCACATGGTTTTAAGTCTTTCTTTGTTATAATTATTTTACTATTTATACATTTCTTCACTCTTGTTTCAGTGGGAGTCATTATGCTGCAAAAAAGCAGGTCCTTCCCTTGCTCTATTATTCAGGGCTCAGTCAGTCACAGACAGTCATTAAAGTTTCATAGGAAGCAATTTGGTTGCGGAGTTATTTGCAAAGTGAGGTGAGTGCATATGGTGACACCATACCTTTCCCGTTTACGGCTGGGGATTCCATGCTTTTCATGAGAAGAGAGCGGCATGCTGTTCTCTTGAGTGGAATTTTACTTGATGACGCCTGTGGGAACATTACAAAAAACGACAGATGATCATCAAGGAGTCAGCGGGGCCACAAAACACAACACATTTTATTTGAGGAATGTTTTGACAAGCAGTCAAATTCCAGCTGTAAGGCAGATAAAAAGCAAGAACTATTAAACTTGGTAAAGCTTTAAAAAGTGAGTGATATTGCTTCTAATGTTGAAAGTTGACTGTTTATAATTTAATTATTGATCCATGCAGCTCTGCATTGCTCGCATATGCCGGAATCCCAAAAGACAGCCCAAAAAAACAGATGAAATGTAAAAGTGAAAGTGGGTCATGTCAGATTTGTTCGACAACACAAATAGGAATTGATGCACAGACCACAGGGAATACAAAAAAAAACTGTGTAAAGGATGATTGCACGAGAGCGACGTGCTGTGATTGTTAAGTGATTATGAAGGGAGATAACTGGCAATTAATCAATTACAGATGTGACAATATTCAGACCAACAAGTATAACACTCGGAACAACAGACCTGAATTTTATAGTATATTCATACACATATAGAAAACTTTTCTACCATAAATATACCACGGATATGTGCATTTCTGATTTAAATGGCAGAATTGAATCTAAGCAACAATAGGGTGAGACAATTTGAGATGATTTCTTGGTTATTTTTCGGATATATTTTCTGATTATTATGTTAATATTCTTCCCTTTTCTGCTGGTTTCTTTTTATATGTTATCATTATTTATTACCTTCAGGGTTCTTTCTGGAAACGTTTATGGTATCTTGTGGAAATATCTACGCTGCTGTGCTCTTGACATTTTTTTGTATCTCATAATTGAAATGCAGTTATTTTTATTGTAAGTAGTGTAATACTGTATGCTGCCTTTTATTAACTTTAATCGCGCTCTCGTGGGGTGTGCGATTTTTTGCTAATCAGCACCAGATGATTTAAGTTGCTTCTGAGGGCAATCAGGCACAAAAACAGTTCTGAAAAAGGTAGTTTTTAAAAATAAGTCTCTGTACAAGCGTCATTGTGTCTGCCGGAACTGAAACGCCTTTGGACCTCAACAATAAATCGGAGGACACAATTCATGATCATTTACATCTTGAAAGACGAGTGTGGGCATGTTTTTCTTTAAATTGTATGAAGAGAGGATGAGGGGTATCATAAACCACACACCCTTTAGAGTTCATAAAATGCACTCTCTTTGAACAGAAAGGTTGGCCACATTCCCACATCCTCATCCCCACCTTATATGGGAAACACATTTAGCTGGTTTGATGACTGTTAGTAATACAATGTAAAGCTCAGAGCTGGATTACAATTGAGAAGGTTGATTTATGGAAGAGCAAGTAAGGCTTACTAAAAGGTGAGTATAGCTGTGATAGGACTCCACTTATTTTTGGCAAGTTTTACCATTAGAAATACAAATATTTAACTTAAATTGTGGCAAAGTACTTTTCTGCGTATTATCGTGACAAACTAAGAAAGTCACAATTGTCACAAATCCTAACAGATGAGGAAAATCTGGTAAAATGTCACTTCTATTTTTTAGCAGTAATGCAGCTCAATGCTCTCCTGAAGGACATTCTACATTCAAACCTGTGCGCTATGTATGGTAATGCATTTGCCATACTTCCAGTCACCTTGGTGTGTGTGTGTGTGTGTGTGTGTGTGTGTGTGTGTGTGTGTGTGTGTGTGTGTGTGTGTGTTGTGTGTGTGTGTGTGTGTGTGTGTGTGTGTGTGTGTGTGTGTGTGGTACATGCCCCGTCCTTCAACTCCAGTTAGCGTATTGATCTAACAATGGAAATTAAATCAGTGACTGCCGCTGAAGTGCTAAATGGATCAGTTTTATTTTTGTTGCCACTGATTTCTCGTCAAAAAACTGTCTTCACTATGAGCTCATTAATGTCCATCACCCCTAATTAGGCTACTCATTAAGTAGGAGTGCAGAGGGACCCATTAGAAGTGATGACTTTGACCCTGACTCACAGTCCCATTACGAGGTCTTAAGACCACCCTTTGTTTACACGTGACGCATTTCAGTGTCAATAACATGCGAAACGATGAGCTGTGAAGAAATACCAGCTGAGCTTTCGTAGCTTATTCTCTTGGCAAGGATTAAAAAATGGCTTTCAAAACCAAATAAATGAGATAAAAATATACATGCTTTGCGACCCATCTGTGGTTTTCCTTTGTTGTTGTTGTTGTTTTATAGCATTTCTAAGTTGTTGTTTTATAGCATTTCTAATTAAATAACAAACAATGTGCTTATTGTTAATACATTGTCAGAAAATATGAGAAAGCAAAATAAGAAATGTGTTACAGTTGATTTGGCTTACGTGTCGTACCTACCTGTAGAAGAAAATGTACACGATTTTTCTCGCTTGTTACTCTGTTCTATGGCGACACAAATGTGGACTTAGCTCATATTTTAATTATAGTTTACCTATGAAACACTAATTTAGAATCATATCAGCTGATACAACTCGAACCAACACTTTAACAGGTAAGATAATTATAAATATATACTGCTGATACAGCGTCAGGTGCATTTAGGGTATACAATTGTTGTGAATGCATTAAACCATAGGCATTTAAAACCACAACCGCAAACAATTAGACTTTAAATCAATAACAAAAGTAGTTTAAGGAAAGTACATTTACTGTAATGTAATTAAATTCCTTCTTGAGGGACTTTTGTTTTATGTTACTTCTGTTTCACTACATTAAAATGAACACAATTGCTTATTTTTAGCCCCCTGCTAGCATTTAGTTACTTGAAGGTTAAGTTGTGACAACAAATATAATGAACTTCTGAAGAGTAATGCATTCTTATAAAGTATACCACCCAATAGTATTAAGGCAAACATTAAGGCAAGGCAAATGTATTTATAGCACATACCAACAACAAGGCAGTGCTTGACACAAAACATTAAAAGCATCAGACAAAGTGAAAAAAGATACACACTATAAAAGGATGGTTAAAATAAATTGTGATGGTTGAAGAGCCTGTATGCTAGAAAATTAAAACAAGCTGAAATAAAATGAAACAGATAAATACAAGAATAAAAGCTATGTGCAGTGTAAGAAATCAATAATTTGATATAAGGGAGCCGCAGAAAAGTCGTATGGACAACAAATGGATAATAACCATTGGCTGCATTCAAATTAAATGTTAATGCATTAGTAATTATATTCCAACAACATATTGTATGTATATAAACATTAAGAGGTCATTTACAGCAGCATTAAGAAGGGCCATTCGGTATAATGAGTACTTATACTCTTGCTTCAGTGGTCATATGTGTAATCACAATTAAGATCATAAAAATGTAACGACCATTCTCCAGTCATTTCTTTTTTTTCTTTCTATTTAAGCCTGAGATTACATTTATATGAAAATGCTCAGATATAGGCTGTTCAGAGGCGTTTGACTGGCAGCTCCTCACTGAGCACACAGACTACCCCCCTGCTTTAATTGATATGCAGGCTCTACTCACGAGGACAATGAGTTGTATTTTGGTGAGGGCTGCGGAGAGTCACACATTGACCAGGAGAGGGCATCTCAAGTCCTGAAAAGAGCAGCAGTGAGCTCAGTATAATCCTACACCAACATCATTCCTGTTGCTATACTACTGATTTATTCTTGATGCCACGTTCACTGGGTGAAATCCACAGCAGACTTCGCCTTATCCTCCACATCTCCATCTGGATACATCAACTTGGGTTTGGACTTGAGTTTATTTCTCTCTGATTTCTTCACTTGGTCGGGTTTCTGGTGTCTTACCTGGCACTTAACCTTAACAATTGGCGACTCTGTGTTCAAAATGTATCTAGCCTCCCAAAGCATGCGCTCAACAGTGTGATTCTCATGAGGCTATAACAAGCTTGAGTGCTTCCACCCAAACGGCTTTGAAAAGGTGGCAGGATGAAATATGCATCATCCAGCTGATGTAGTTCGGTAACGTAGGAAACTATAGACGGGGGTTGATGCGCACCTTTTGGCGCTACTCACATCTCCGACAGGTGTGCGGCTGTGCGCAAAGCGGATCTGACTGCGGTGCAAAGTGCTAATATTCTCCGGGCAGACAGTCGTCCTGGGTGCGTGTCCAACTGTTTGGACTAAACGCCGAGTGTATCTAACATGTGGACCTGGGACGCATGCAACAGAGAGCCCTAACCATGAGGAGGAGCCGACACCGCGCAAATATGGGTATGTACACCGTTCCGCAAGGTACTTGTGCATTTCAAAGTCGTTTTCCTAATTACAATTCACTTAAAGTCAATGTCGCTGGTGTATTTGCCCCCTGTGGTGTATGAGTGATGACTGCAGGCTGGGGGATCGGATGGAGGTTTTTCTCTCAGCAACTATTTTACGGATACTGCCTGATGCATGTGGTTATCAATCTCCTTTCCAATGTTCAAGAGCATGACTTTGACTGTGCTAATGAATGTAAGTGTGTGTCTAGATGCAAATGAAGTGGGCTGCAAATAACCCCTCTGATAAAAAATGAATATGGGTTGAAATGTTTGGTCCCCTGGCCTGATTCAGATAACATTTTATTCAATTTATTCTCTTCTTGTTTGTGTATAATAGTTCTGATTTATATTTATGAGTGCTCATACGTCTATCACTTCTCTGTGTGTCTGCAGGACTTCTCTTGCTATTCAGATGGCTTGTATTCACAGTGGTGGTGCCCGCCTGGCTGCTTGCTGCTCCAAGTGGCATCCGTGAGCGTCCCTGCCCCCAGAGCTGTAGATGTGATGGGAAAATAATATACTGTGAATCCAATGCCTTCCGTGACGTGCCAAACAATGTGTCTGTGAGCACCCAGGGCCTCTCCCTGCGTTACAACAGCCTGGTGAACCTCCGAACACACCAGTTTGCAGGCCTGAGTCAACTAGTGTGGCTCTACCTCGACCACAATTACATCAGTGATGTGGACGGCCAGGCTTTCCATGGGATACGGAGGCTGAAAGAACTGATTCTCAGCTCAAATAAGATCACACTGCTCAAAAATAACACTTTTCATGATGTTCCGAATTTACGCAATCTAGACCTTTCCTATAATAAACTGCAGGTTCTCCAGCCTAATCAGTTTGTGGGTCTGCGAAAACTGCTCAGTTTACACTTGAGATCAAACTCCTTGAAAACTGTCCCCATGCGAGTTTTCCTTGACTGTCGCAACCTGGAGTTTCTTGATATTGGCTACAACAGGCTACGGAGCCTCACACGTAACGCCTTTGCAGGACTCCTTAAGCTCATCGAGCTTCATCTGGAGCACAACCAGTTCTCAAAGATAAACTTTGCTCATTTCCCCCGCCTGACTAACCTGCGGGCTCTGTATTTGCAGTGGAACCGTATCAAAGTGCTGACCCAGGGCCTGCCGTGGATGTGGACCTCCTTGCAAAAGTTGGACGTCTCTGGGAATGAGCTCCAAGTGTTGGACCCGAGTACATTTCAATGCCTTCCTAATCTGCAGACTCTTAACTTGGACTCCAACAAGCTGAGCAATGTGTCTCAGCAGGCAGTGGAGGCTTGGATCTCCCTCACCACGATCAGTCTGGCTGGTAATTTGTGGTACTGTAACCCAAATATATGTCCCCTAGCGGCCTGGCTCAAGGCCTTTAAGGGTAACAAGGAGACCACTATGATTTGTGCCGGCCCAAAGGAGGCCCAAGGAGAGAAAGTGACCGATGTGGTGGACACTTATAACATTTGCACAGCAACACCGGCCCCCGTCCCATTAACAACATCTCCCCTCACCTCTGCATTTCAACCTGAGCTGCTGCCTCTTCCCACAGAGTCTGTGGAGGATAAGAAGCAGATCTGGAACAGGACAGCCTCCCCTACTCCCTCCGAGCCCACCTTCTCTTTGCCAGACACTGAGTATGTTTCCTTCCATAAAATCATAGCTGGTAGTGTGGCACTCCTCTTATCCGTGGCTATAATTCTGCTGGTAATCTATGTCTCGTGGAGGCGCTATCCCAGCAGCTTAAAACAGCTTCAGCAGCGCTCGGGAGTCAAAAAGCGCCAGAAAAATGCACGGGAGACCGAGCGCTCCCTTAATTCACCACTGCAAGAGTACTATGTGGACTACAAGCCTTCACACTCAGAGACTATGGATGTGCTGGTTAATGGGACAGGACCTTACACATACACCATCTCAGGCTCCAGGGAATGCGAGGTATGACCGTTGCCCTCCAAAAATCCATTTCCACTGCGAGGCATGAGAGGTAAATTTTCTAACAATCTGTGGAGAAAAAACGTTATTTTTTCTCCTCTGCTCTTGTCTGTTTTGGGATAAGGAAGCAAAGGTCAGTGCATGGTGACTTGTTTTACAATATGCTGGGTTTGTTCAGTTCCATATGATTACCCAGCTGTTGTTCTGAATCATACAGTTTTGCTGCTAAAATATGATTCCCATTAGCTGAAACTGCAGAGCCAGCTCTTCTCCCTGGAGAACTTACAGTAAGATGCATTATGCACAAAGGAGACCCATCTTTTATTTTTGACATAAAACAGCCTATTGATGAATCTATGTATTATCAGCCAGCCTATTATTTATTCACAAATGGCTTGCTGTCCACACAGGAATGATAACAAATCAAGTCACTCTGCAGGTGGTCCTTTCCTCTCCTGTGTGTTTGCTGCAACAACTGTAGTGGCAAAAACACAAGTGGTGTGAATTTTGATATCTGTTTTTATTTGCTGTATCACATATGTTAATATTTACAATCATACCAGCTGATCATATGTCTCCTTGTCTGTCTCTAGCAAGCATGTACTTAACATGTTACTTAATCTACAAAGTTCAAATAGTCACTGCAGGCTGGAGAACACTATAAAGGCCTGCAGCCAAATAAAAGATAAATTATGCATTTGGGCTCGATTCCTGTCTGGCTTTAGTGTACTAATGCAGTTACAAACTTCAATATGCTGCTTTTGTTCATCTCAAAAAGATAACGACAATATTCAGCATCAAAAGTGACACTTTTGTCCAAAAAGTTGAATTGAAAAGCCAGACTCCTTCACACAGCAGACTCTGAACCACTGTATGACACGGAGGGATTAAGACAAAAAGCCTTGACAGAAGGACTAATCAATCTGCTCATGCTTAATTAGGCACTTTTTTGCCTGTGTAGTCTTTTTTGTCCCTTAATGCTACGCATCTGTCTTCCTCTGTCCAGTATCTTTTTTTTTAATTGGCAGTATGGTTAAAGTGTGATTAACAGGACATGTTGTGTTGAGGGAAGACATTGTGTCACAGGATATCCTAGTTGAACCTTTTGTCGGACTAACCCAACACGTTGTAAAGTCCAGAGGACATCTTTCTTCTTAGTTATTTCTGTCAATGCAGCTCAGAGACACAGTTTTATCTAACACTCCCACACAGCTCATTAAATATATTCCATGTGCACCCTATGAATCATTCCATAATATGTTTTAAGTCAGTGGATTGCACTGCAGCCTGACTCACATTCTTGTTTTGCCCTGTACTGAGCACACCAGAGAAACCAGCTGAAATGTGTCATGGTTTCCAATAATGTCAGATACTTCGAGGTACACAGGTAGCTAAATCAGCTCTGTGTTACATTATCTGTGGTAGAACATTTCTCAAACACAAAAGTGGCTTGAGATGAGATGGTCGGCTCATCAATCTTGTTGCTTTCATGTGAGAATGTGGCATGGGAGCATTAAATGGCAGACCTAATGGGGCTTCTACTAGCTAGAATAACGAATAGCCCATCAGAGGTGAGGAGCTGAGACTTCCCTCAGCTTTGTTATTTCTTGCCCTCTACAGTCCAAGAGGGCAGTCTTAGTTGTGACAAATGTAATAGGATTTTGTTGCCCCTCTCTGTGTTTGTGCATATTGGGCCAAACATCGCAAGGATACATAATACAGCAGGAGACTTTCCAGACCAACGGCAGTTTTTTTCATGCAGGTAGAAACACTTTCAAACTGTTCGATCAGCTGCATTGTTTAATCTATTACAGTATCATGTTTATTACCCATGAAACTTCATCAGAATTATAGGTCGCAGTACAGGAAGCTCATAATGTGCGGTGATAGTGTCTTATTAGCATCACAATACAGGCAATGTAGCACAATCTCTGCATATACAAACTAAGGTTGCTCCTCAGTTTAGTTGAATGGCACACAGTAGATAGTGTAGAGAAAGATGGAAGAGATAGAGATGTATCTGAAAAAGGCTTCTCTAGAGTTTAAACCCCACAGTCAGTATAGTCATCACCCCAACATAGTGAGCCCCCTGCACATTATTTTAGCTTTCCCAGATAGCAAGCACTTAAGCTATTAGCTGTATTTTCAATTAGGAGAAAGAGCTTTGTAAATGAAGTCTGTTATCTTCTGCACATGCCTGGATCAGCAAACTTGTATTCAATTTGTTTCTATAGGTTTCCTCCAGGACAGCTTAGCAGGTTGGTTTTGACGCTGCAATCCGAACCCGGCAAGTGTGCATTTCCATGAACACTTTGAACTGTGCGGTTACACAGCCTTCCTGTGGCTCATTATTTAAACAAAAAAAAAGCCCTCTCTTCCCTTGAATGCCATCCACTTCTGAGCTCACAGAGCAGCTGCAGTCGTTGACGTCCGCCCACGGATCATCCCCAGCAAAGTTAGCTCAGAAAATATCACCGTGCAAATCCTACTGTCTTACCCGAAGGCGATTCTTGAACTTGGGCAGAATTTGCAAGCATTAATAAGGTGAGGGGTTCCTGCTCACAGATAATTTAAGTGGGCTGTGAGATCAGATGAAGTGAGGAGAAATTAAGGTGTTCCACCTCTGCTGCTGCATCTACCGACTGATACAAAGCTGTCTGAACTAGACTTAAAATTATTACAATTTTCAATTCCACTCATTTTTAAGCTCAGGGGCTTTGTAATGTAAAGGTCACCTATTATGCAAAATCCACTTTTTCCTGTCTTTTATACATAACCATGTGTCCCCTCTGTGTAAAGAGACTCTGAAAGTTTTTTGTCCTGATCCATTTATATAAAAACCAGTCTGAAAATGAGCTGATCAGATTTTATGATGTCATAACGATTTTTTGGCTTGTGTAACTATTAGCCAATCACCAACCAAGGTAACCCCCCCCCCCCCCCCCCCCCCCACCTTATCACCTGAATCTCCTCCTAGAGCACCATTGTGTTCTTTTGAACCAAATATCTCTCAGAGGGGCGTGGGGAGTGGCTCCTTATTTTCATCTAAAGTAACAGACAGAGAATCAGCACTTTTGAAACAGGGCTGAAACAGAGGGGTTTATGGGATGCTATTTGGAGCCAAACACTTCAGAGGCATGTTTTGTATATATCTGAGACCTATAATATATTGATGAAAAACAGTATAATAGGGGACCTTTAAAGTAACGATGTAGGCCAGCACAAGCCTTAATCATGCATTAAGTCGTTTTCATTTTTCATTGCTCTCTGAAATGTGGTTATATTTCAAACTAATGGCTTCTCTGGATCTAACTAGTGTTTGCATCTTTCAAATCCTGCAGCTGTGGGTACATTTCATTCAACAAACATTTGTTTAATTTTTAGGATTTAGAAGCTGATCCCTGTCTTGAAAATGTCACGGATAAGAAACAAAGATGATAAGCGATCAAAATATACTGCTTTTTCTTGCCAACGTGGCAGCTTGCACTTCATCTTTGCGTAAATGCACAGAAGGCAGGCTTTCATCCTGTGAAGGGAGTTTGACAGCCTTCAACATTTTTTGTTCACTTGCCAAATAAACGTTAACCACATGAGTAGAACTGCCTCTTAAAAAAGACGTGTCATTTCCTGACACATCTGTTTTTACGTATGTTGTGGGAAGAACGTTGGTGTAATTTATTCATGCTGTGATGAAAGGTAACACACATACTCTATGATAAATGACACATCATTTGTGCTTTAGTCATTCTATAAAAAAGTAATATCCGACCTATGCCATTAATTCTCATTTTTCTTGGTTGCCTCTTGTTTAGTGGATTTGAAAATTACTGTTACAACAAGACCGTATGGCAACGATCCATGGTTCCAAGAAGTAGAGTACTTAGCTTTTTATCATACCTGATGATTTTCTGAAAAATGGGCTTTGGTCATCTTGACTCGATTCAAACTCAACTGCAGCGAAATACAGGGAGAAACAGCCTTTTAAGTGAATTGGCTCTAATGGCTCTTACATAACATCATTTTTAATGTCATGTATTATTTATCATCAGTTGTTTACATGTATACACTTATGGAAGCTTTACAGCAACAGGATAAAGTCCAAATCCTATTTTTTTTAGATGTTGAAAGCAACAGTTGGATATTTTGGTAATCTTAATCGCTTCTTGTTAAGAGTTAGATTTATACTGCTCTCATTCTAAATGTATAACCTGGTTCTGTACAAAGGTAACTAAATCCATCTACTGCTAAAATGTCTCAGTTTACTAACATGATAAAGGCTTATCTTGTTTTCATCCAGGCAAATGTGTAAAACAGCATGCCCGTGGTGTTATGGGGCGTTATGTGCCAGACTTGCCTGGATTCCTTAACAGTCATAACAAAAAAGGAAGAAATAACTCCTTTTCCACTCTTTATGTGAAAATAAGCTAACCAGCAGTAGCTTCATATTTAGCATACGTATCAATCTTTAAATAACTCCCTGCAAGACAGTGAAAAAGTATATTGTATGTTGATCTACTCCTCGAATGAACTATCCATACTTATCTGCTTTAAGTTCATATTATTCAGTATTTACTTAATCAATAGAAATCTATATTAACTGTATACTAGCCTATTTGTGCGAAAGCCAGTGTTTAAGTGTAGCATGTATGTAAAAGTGTCTAATGAGACTTTCGCACCGGACACACCTTAAGGCTGTGATTTCATGAGTCTAAACGCTGCAGTGTGATTCATTAGCTCCAATGATCATAATCAAATCTGAGGCCTATCTTTGGTGTTAAGCACCGCTCAGGTTGCTCTGTGTGTGGGGTGAGATCAACTCTAAATAAACATACTCTGCTATATTTATTATTCTGACTTTTGGCAGATGTTCCCTTCTGGAGGTGTGATGTCTGCTGTGGTGAGGAGGTGGAATACATTTCACAAAGCTAGCAGCAGGAAGAGGAGACACAAGCCTGTAATCCAACATGGTTTGTTTAAACGAAGACGACAATTTGGTTGCTTCA